TACATTAGGTCGTGTAGCAGCTGCTACATAGCTAATTGATCTAACTAGCTGTGCGTATCTATGTATATTCGCGTTATTTCTTAGTTAGCCTAAAGGGAGTAGTTCCTCTAGAGGGAGAGGAGTGGCTAGAGGCCGCTTGAACGACTTTGGTAATGGATATTTGGCGTTAAGCTTGTTAATGTAGGCTAACTGCGATAGCTAGATAGATCTAGTTGATCTGTCGCGGTGTGTTTGTATTCCACAGAAGGTGGATAGTTCTCCAAGCAATTAGATCTTATATCGACGTAGTAGCTTACGTTTAAAGTCGTTAAGTGCTGCTGTATGGGCTAGACGCGTAAGTATAACTATATCATTAATATAAAAGAAGACAATAAGCTTTTCATTTCGCCAAAGGCAAGGTGCCTCTTTAACTTCTTAAAGACCTAGTTCATTAAGCGTCTTTGTGAGCTCTTTGTACTATAGTAGTGGTGAGGCCTTGAGCCTATAGAGAGCTCTGCGTAGTTCCCACAGATGCTTAGCATTAGAGAAGCCTTCTAGCGGGTGACAGTAAACAGGTGTATTAAGTTAAGCATTAGTGAATGCGTTAACTGCGTCGTATTAGCGTATTTTAAGGTTAAAGTATGCTGCAATAGCTATAAGTCCTTAAAAGATGCGCGTAGCTAGAGTTGCAGCGTATGTATCCTTAGCTATCGCTTGTAGATCGCCTTAAACGCAGATTCTAGCCTTGTATTTAACTAGATATCCCTTATTATTAAGCTTATATTTAAACACCTATATCAGCGGCAGGACTTTAGTGTCTTAAGTGTTAAAATCCTTCTAGGATATAGTCTTGTACGTATCCTTGCGCTTAATATCTAAGATCTTACGTTGCATTGCTGCTATAAAGCCTTGCTTATATACGGTAGAGAGCTTTATAACATCTTAATAAAAACGTGGCTCAGGAGGTAGAGTTAAGTGGTAGAATTGTGTTTTTAGAGCTGTAATAGATGCTGCCACAAACGTGGACTAGTATTTACAGACGAAGAAGCTGCTGCTTTTGCGTGTGGGCTTCCTAGATCTTGCTGCTCCTTCTAGCAGTATATGTGAATGGCGTAGATTGCTGTTGATAAGTTCGCGATTTGCTGCAGCATTTGTGTCTACTAATTGCTCTATTAAGTCGCGTCGCTTTCGTTTTCTTGATGTACGAGTAGATGGCTGTGTTTCTGGAGTAGGCGTGGAACTATGGCTGGCTGTAGCTAGTGAGACTTGGTGATATCCCATGTGATTGTCTGGATCTGGAGTAGCTGTCACAGCTGGTGTAGGCAGAGATCCTGCGTTGTGATCCTCATAAGGTTTTTTAGTACTTTGTGTGGACGAAGTTGGTATATCCATATCCTGGCTGGCTTCTGTTGTAGCGCCTTCGTCCTCTTCTTTAGAAGACTCTTCTAGATTCTGCAGTAGTGGCATATGGATTGTATGTATAACCTCTTGTATCTCTTCGCCTTGTAGTAGTGGATCTTGACTATCGAAAGCTTGGTAGAACATGTCCTCTTTAAACGTCACATCACGTGTGCGAATGACTTTGCCCTGGTGCGCTCTACTCTTTGCTTTTAGTATCTAGATCCTATAGATATTTAAGGCATTATAGCCAACAATGTAGCCTATAAGGGCACGAGGAGTGAGCTTATCACCTCGCGGTATCTGCGTGCGTAGTGCGTATGCTCGGCAGCCATATATTTTAAGATGAGCTATTAAAGGCTTCTTGCAGTACGCTATTTCAAATAGTGTTTTCTAGCTAAGAGATCGCGTAGGTGTGCGATTGAGAAGATATCCTGCAGTGACATATGTCTCTAGAGCAAGATGGAGTAGTAGTTTTGAAGTGCTCATCATAGATCGTGAGTAGTTAATTAGAGTCTTTCCTGATCTTTCTACAGAGCCATTCTGCTCTTTTGTATGTGGAGCTCTAATCTAGAATCTAATTCCTTCTTGCTAACAGTATGCACGCGCTAAGTCGTCTGTTAGACCATAGCCTTATTCGTCGTTGGCTATTATAAATGTGACAGTAGTATTAAACTCCCGTTTAATCGTCTAATCTAGGCGAGTGATCACAAAACCTTGGTGGACTAGTGAGCTAGATAACCTAAAGTCGGATCAAAACAGAGCTTTTCGAGTCCTAAAAAGAGAAGCTAGTAGAGAGGACAACAGCCAAATCAACCAGTGGAAAAAAGAGTATCTTATTGCAAAATACAGATA